AATAAATGTGTTTATATTTCTGCAACAACAATGCTTCCCCTCAGTAGTCAGAAATATATCTCGAACGGCATCCAGGTCTGTAAAAACTTCAAGGTCTTTGAATCCTCTGCTCCATTTATTGAACCTTTATACTGCGTACAGAAAACTTCTATACGTTATCTTTATTGTGCCCGAATAAAAAAAAGCTCAGTTCCCCCCGAATTTTACACTCATTCATTCTGCACACCAATGAAAAGTTTCTCAGGATAAAAAGACAATAAAAGGTTATTCTTTTTAGATTGAATCCAAGATTTGACTGAGACAAGCTAATTTTCTGGGTATGTTAATTCATACACGGCCTATTCTCGGGGAATGGCAGGAAACATAAACAAAGAGGGAGCAGAAATACAACTTGAAGATTTTTATGCATATTGCCACTCTGCAAATTCTGCATATGATCAGTTAAGCTTGGAACAGAGATAAGTTGTCATGTCTACCCAACACGATATGAACATAACACAATCCTATACAATCTATACATAGAACAACTGTGCCACCAACATGACTGACCACTATACATAAATCATAACATTATTCTATGACACTCTATACATAGAACACTATACCCATCATGAGCACCCACTGGACAGGATCAACTGTATGTATAGAACACTACATCTCCAACATGACCAACCAGAGAACATACTCTATACACTGAGTGGCCAGATTATTATGACCACCTGACGTTTGTAGGCAAATTAGCTATAATTTGGCGCTGAAGTTGCTAGAGGGCCAGACCATTATAAATAGGGAAGCAGGTTGTTTACCACGACAGTAGAAGTGATTTTTTTTCTGAAGATACGGGTAAACAACGCGATTTAACAGCCTTTGAACGTGGGATGATTGTTGGCGCTCGGAGCCATGGAGCGAGTATCAGCAAAACAGCAGAATTCGTTAAATATTCAAGAGCAGCTGTTGTTAAAGTGTTTAAAGACTGGACTGTCAGCCGAAAATCTGGGTCTGAACGTGCGAATTGTGGCCGTCAGCGACTAGTCAATGTTAGGGCAGAACGGGGGAGGGGCAAGACTGGTATAAGACAACAGAAAGGCAACAGTGCATCAAACTACTGCAGATCTTAATCAGTGATCTTCTCAAATGATCTCTGAACGCACTGTTCGCTGTACACTGCATCGTATGGGATATGGAAGCCGAAGGCCTGTTCGAACACCTTTGCTGTCTGCAGTTAACAAGATAAAACGTCTCCAATTCGCACCTAAGGATATCATCTATATACAGAACACTGCATCTCCAACAAGACCAACCAGGAGGACATAATCTATATTCAGAACACTACTTCTCCAACCACTGGACAGGATCAACTGTATATATAGAGCATGACATCTCCAACATGACCAACCAGGAGGACAAGCTATGTACAGAACACTACTCCTCAAACATGACCAACCAGGAGGACAAGCTATATACAGAACACTACTCCTCAAACATGACTAACCACTGCACATAATCAATTTATAGAACACTAAATCTACAACAGAACCAGCCACTGGACATAATTTATATACAAAACACTACATCTCCAACATGACCAACCACTGGACATAATGATAATACTATTCTATTATACTCTACACAGACACGATCATAATACAATTCAAATACACTCTATACATAGAACGCTACACCTCCAACATGACCGACCACTGGCTATGATCACAATACAATTCTATTTCATCCTATACATAGAACACTACACCTCCAATATGACTGACCATTATCTTAATACAATTCTATTACATGCCACACCTCCAACATGACCAACTACCAAACATGATCATAATATAATTCTGTTACATGCTATATATTAAACACTGTGAACCAAACTAACTCGCGCTAATGGAAATAGTAAAAGTGAATTAAGATGGATAAACTTAGTATTAATATGACCCTGGAGCTAAAATTTCTAAAACCAAGAAGGAAAGAAAAAAGCTGCTGAACTCAGGCTAAAAGCCCGCAGGATAATGGTGTAACGAAGTGTACAGCGCTAAATGCCCTTCAGGAGATTAGATAACGGTAGGGATCAGATGATGTCACCTCCGTGTCAAGCAATCGTGAAAAAAGTGTATGTATAATAAATATTTGTGTAAAAACTTATAATGCGTTATAAAATGTGTCAACAGGTATCATAAAAAGTGTGTCATACATGAACCTTGTTATATAAATAAATAAAAATCTTCAAAGAACATGTGTAATATATGTGAAAAGATATTAAATAAATAAATATGTGTCATATATGTGAAAAATAAAATATCACATTATAAAACAGTCTGTGTTGTTTTCTTTCGAAAATAAGTAGAATATAAAAAATGCACCCAAAGTTCTTAAAGCTCTCCAATCTTCAAAACATAAAAGCCCAGAAGAATGAGAATAAGATTCAAAATCTAAAGAAATGTCCAATATTGTGAAGTGTCCAACGAAAAAAACGATAAAAGAAAAAAGCAGGCAGATCCCCTATAGGGAATGCACTCACCAGATTCCTGATGGTCGAAAGCCTTTATTTTTATCCAATGGAGGCCGAAGATGTATGTCCTCTTCTCCCGCTTGGTGAAAGCCTCAGGCTACAGAACCCGCTTGCTTCTCCGAGGTGAAGGGATTACAATCTTTGCTGTTGGGTCTCCTCTATTGGGTATCCATCCGGACAAAGAACACAAGAAATGCGCTCATAGCGTAGTAAGTTCAACTTTAATGGGTCCAAAATAATAAATACAAACAAACAAGCGCTCTATAAAAAATTCCATAAAAATCAACGTGGAAAGCCGGCTAGTCACTCAATCTGAGTGCAAAAATGACTGGAACAATGACGTAAAGGTAGGCCCGCCCCCGACGTGTTTCGTTACATGGACGTTCTCAAGGGATGACAGGTCACATGGACGTTCTCAAGGGATGACAGGTCTCTCTATATATTAAAAACTACACCCAATATCATTCAGCACTAGACACGATCATAACAAAATTCAAATTTTTAATCAACACTAGACCTCCCTACATGACTCGGCTCCCGGATGTAATCATTATATAGGTTTTTAGACTCGAACAGAACATTACAGTCCTAATGTGACCGCTGGCCTTGATTATGTAAGTTTTTAAAATGCCTCCACTTGTGCATAGTTTATATGGAACCTTAGTATGACTCACAATGTGACCTCTACAGCAACTAGAATGGAAGCAATATACCCTGTAATGCTGTCATGGATAAAATCTTCAATGACAAATCTTTAAATCTGTGTTTGATGTTGTAAATTAAAATCTACAGGTAAATAAATGGATGTGTGCAGAGTTACAGCAAAGTCTATATTTCTGCTTGATTGATTATCGCGCGAGTATGCGAAAGGCCATCCGCGTACAGGACATTTTGTAAATGCAAAGTGCACGTCTTCTATTTTGTGCTGACACAAGCAAGTCCTGTAACCACAACATTAATTTTGCCAACATAAATTAATGCAGCGCAAAAATAAAAATTTATTTTGCAGTCACATGAGCTAATCTATTAAAAATGGAGCAGATGAGAGAAGAGGCTTGGAGCAAAGCATTCAGTCACATCTCATCTTTTATTCCTCTGTATTCACGTAAAAATATAAATAAAATAAAAGCACTGAATCTGTTTGCTGTAGACAACAGCGCTGGCTTTCAGAAATTGGTCCAATAGGGTCAGGTCAGGTCCAACTTTAAAAGGAACTTTGGGTTAGTGCCACATAAGAGTCCTATAAAAGGAAATTTGGGTAGACAAAAACACTCACTGACGTTTTTACATTTTCAAGACTCCTGGGTGAGAGCTTTGCAGTGCTGTCTGTCTACTCCAGAAAGAATAAAGTGGTTAAAAGGGAAGATAGCCAAGAATTCCAGGGGAAAATCTGGCCAGAGTAGCTCCCAAGAAAAATGTGTTCGTTCTTAACCCAAAAATGTATTCTGCATGTAGCGATAGCTTAAGTACCCTTTTTAAAATGTTAGTCCACCCAAAGCAGTTACTTTATAAGTCTAGTCTGGTTGGCCGAGTCATATGCCTTGGGTACTCCAATAGTGAGTTCTCTTGGCTTTAATTCCCAACATTATTCCCATATTCCTGCCTACCAAAGAGTTTTGTGATATCTTTGAGAGATATAAAATGGACAGGGGTTGTATTTCTCCAGCATCTACCACATACTGAAATACAGGCAGTCCTCGAGTTACAAACATCCGACTTACATCCGACCCCTACTTACAAACAGAAGCTATTACTGTAGAGCAGGCAGTCCCAGGCTGCAGCAAAAGTGTACCGTGCAGCATTTCAGTAGTTGTAATGCTACTGCGCTCGTGCCGACGAGGAGTGCCCGCCTTTTTGGGTCTGGTTTGTAGTGCTGTACGTACATTACAGGAAGTTGGCTCTTAGACGTGCAGACGAGGGGTGCCGCCTCTTCTTCCGGGTCACTGTGAGGTTTTTACTGCTGTCTGTATCCTCATTAGAAAGATTTAATCTCACTTCTTGTCCTTGAGACAACAAATCTACCCCTAGGAAGGGAAATTCACTCCTGTAAGCGTTGTCATCGGAAAAAGGTATCTCCACTGAAGCTTTATCACCAATCCTTGTTTCCATGACAACCCAACATTTTCTAATCCAATTGTCACAGGGACAGAAAGTGAGGTGAAATCTTCTGAAAGGGGGCACACACAGCAATACAAAGGTTACAGGGGGCTCACCCTTCCCTATGCTATCCCAAAAAAAAATATTTATTTTTGTTTGGCTGAAGTTACACTTAAAAAGTGTACCTGTTCCAACTTACATACAAATTCAACATAAGAACAAACCTGCAGTCCCTATCTTGTTTGTAACCCGGGGATTGGCTGTACATGTATTTGGTGGACTGACACTTTAACATCCACAGAATTTTTTTTCATGCTGACAAAATATTTATTCTTTATTATAAATAAGTGGCTTTGAAATAAAATATTGTTGTTCTTGTCCACAGGTCTCCCAATCACACGACAGTGCCCTACCATTATTATGAACCCATGGGACCGGACGAATGCACAATGTACATCTCTCACGAGCGGGGAAGAAAAGGAAGTCACCACCGCTTCATCACAGAGAAAAAAGTTTTTGCCAATTGGGCACGGACCTTTAACATCAACTTTTTCCAACCAGACTGGAAACCAGAAGCACATACTGGAAAACACTTACTTGTGAAACCAATGTTCTGAAGAGAGGGGGACTGAAACTGAAGGCGGCAGCCATTTTGTCTCCAGTAACATATGTCATAGGACCGTTTCCTATCAATACACTAGGAAAAAGGGGTGCTGCAGATTCACAGTGCATTTATAGCCGGAAAACTGGAGTATCCTTATATTATGCCTACTACAGTTTTAGACAGGTGCTGGCTACACATTAAAGTTCTCCAAGAAGAGTAAAAACTCTTTCCAGTTACCCGAAGGGGAGGGTTGCTCAGTTATGTACAGTTCTCCTACCATGAACTTCCACAAGAAAGGTGAAAGCTAGGTGAATCTGAGCTATTTTCTGGAATCATCTGTGGATGGTTGCTAGGTGAATCTGATCTCTTTTCTGGAATAATCTGTGGATGGTTGCTAGGTGAATCTGAGCTCTTTTCTGGAATCATCTGTGGATGGTTGCTAGGTGAATCTGATCTCTTTTCTGGGATCATCTGTGGATGGTTGCTAGGTGAATCTGAGCCCTTTTCTGGAATCATCTGTGGTTGGTTGCTAAGTGAATCTGAGACCTTTTCTGGAATCATCTGTGGATGGTTGCTAGGTGAATCTGAGACCTTTTCTGGAATCATCTTTAGATTATTAAAGCTCAAGTTCACTTTTAACCTAAATCCCATTAATTTACCCGCCCCAGCCCCTAACCTAGACCACTGATGTACCTCTCCATGACAGTGCTGATCTTCTCAAGTGTTTACCGTCCTTGGCCTGAAATCTTCTCAATTCCTGGCCTCATCTGTATAGTAACTACTTACAGCCTTAAATGGGGCCATGCTCCAAGAATAGACATGCTACAGGTACAGCCGTATTCAAGTCTATGGGGAGTTAATGCTCAAGCATGGCCAGCACTACTTTTAGGTCAAGGACTCTAAACACTGAAGAAGGCCATCACCACCACAGAGAGCTGAGTAAGCCTTTGGGTGGGTTCTATGTTGGATTATGGGGTTGGAGAGGGTAGGCTAGTGGATATTATGTTAAAAATGACCATGTTCTTCCCACCCACAATCTGTCTATTACATTCCCCAAGTTGATGCCACACACTGGGCATAGGTTAATAAACATTCGCACTTTAAGAACCAACAGCATACACTTTGCATGACTGTAGACTCAATCTCTGACAGCTTAGGTCCCCACTGACCATCAGGAACCAATCAGAACGGTTACAGATCATGTTATTTCAGCTGACAAAATATCCCTTCAAGCTGTAGTGCCACCAATGTAATTGTGTGATCGTCAGATACAACTACATGAATTAGACTGAAGCTGCTAAATTGGGCAGAGCAACTAGGCATTAATGACTTCTGCTCAGTGTTGAGGAAGGTGTTTTTTTTACATACGCCTATTGAGTTCTATGAATATGTATGGCAAACCCTCCCCTTACAACCACTGCAGCTCAGAATGTCTGATTTCCATTAAGGGCTCAGAACTTACAATGGCTCTCCCACTGAAGTTGAAGAGCTGAAGGCTATAAATACTGAACACAGAACCTTTTCAAAGGAGTTGCAAAAACCCAAAACGACCAAATGACTAAAAAATACGTGGAATGGAGTACAAGGCCCAGAACCTTTAATTGATATAAATGAACACTGGATTTTCCTCTGCTTCTACAGATTATAGCTGCCGCGCTGTCCAGAGGATTTTTATAAAAGAACTGATTTCTATCTTCTAGCACTTTCACGGAGATATTGTCCTCTTTCAGTGTATGGAGAGTGTCTATTGGGTGTATGTATTGTTCGGATAACAAAATTCTTTTTCATAATATATTTTGGCTAGTGACTGATTTTACTGTAAATAAATAGTGTAAAGTTTCTCAAAACTTGGCATCAGAATATTTAAATCTGGGAAAGAAACGACAGTAAACTTTAATATCGGTCTTTGATCAAGCTGTTTCTTGAACAACAATTCATGTTTCAACTGACAGAGCTCCATTGTATATCGGATTATCAGCAGAGACATGGCAATCAGTCACAAAACAGTGAGGAGGAGGGAGATTGCTCTCTTTTTTTCCTTTCAAGACCCAAGCCATCTTTGTACAGGAACTAACCACGGTGCGCATCTACTTCCTGAATTGAGATGTTGGCTTAGGGGTGAAACAATTGTGTAAATCCTGGTGCCTGTGCAGTAGCCTTTTCTGATAGGCACATCTCACATGAATCAGTCCTCTTGCACTCTCCCAACTGGTGGCCCTCCCACTTTTGCAGTAAAATTTAGGAAAAAACCCCTCTATATGTTCCTGTTCACACAAAAAAATCATACCTTTTAGATGTTTTGGTAATTCAGGCAAGATGGCTGATTCCAGGTTTTTCTCAGCACTTTCTCAGCGGTCTGTCCCAATGGAAAGTTTTGGGACTGAAATTTGAGGATTGTGTTTATCTGATAAACTTCTTTAACATTCAATGGGCAAGCCGCCTCTGAATGGACGGGGCCCCTCACCCATCACAGCCCCTCCTAACATTTAATAGAAATAGAAGCACAAGGAATGTTTAACCCTTAAAACCCTAACGCAAGTAAAAACAATTTAAACTGCAATAAACATTTTTTTAAGCTTATGCTATGTGAATGTAGAGACAAGGCAATCATTTTGTCACTTTATAGATCACTTGTTCGGCCTCATCTTAAGTATGCGGTTCAATTTTGGTCACCGATCCACAGAAAGGATGTCCTTGAGCTGGAGAGAGTCCAGAGAAGGGCAACTAAACTAATTAAGGGGCTGGAGGACCAAAGCTATGAGACAAGGTTACTAAAGTTAAACTTGTTCACGCTGTAAGTGAGGAGATTAGAAGGGGACATGATTTTGATGTATAAAATGTTTAGTGGTGATGGCAACATCTGCAATAAACTTTTTACAGTAAACTCCATAACAAGTACGAGAGGCCACCACCTAAACCTGGTGGAGAAAAGATTTAACCACAAAGGGCGTGGGGGCTTCTTCTCAGTTAGAGCGGTTAAAATCTGGAACTCACTGCCACAAGCAGTGGTATCAGCAGAGAGTATTGCATCATTCAAAAATAATTTAGATACCATCCTCAGAGACCGTAAGATACAGGGGTACAGGTACTCTTTAAAACTAGACCACACAGGGACTCGTGTACACACACACAACCACATACAGACACACAAATGTTAAACATGATGGGCCTGTGTTTTTATTCAACCTCAAGTACTATGTAACAAATATAAAACAGGTGTTATCCCAATTTGGCTGCGAAAGTGGAAATAGACTTTAAAGTTACAGTATAAATAATCACTGGGGGATGGGAGACTGAGGGTATGCATCCTCTCGCCTGCAGCAGACAGGTGACATCACCCTTCAGACTGCATCTCTTAGTCTCTGAGTTGGTGAGTGCGGCCAGATCTTATCTTTGAGCACGGTGGAGACTGGAGAGCACGGATTTACTAATTGTTGATGCATTCACAGACGTGGTGTTGATTATAAAAGTTGGAAGATATATCCTCACATATTTCAAGGACTTTATTGTATTCCAGAAGTAATGGACTTCACATGTGGTGATGTAGATTAATGGGGGAGTTGTACATCACTTGCGAGATTTAACACAGGATTTTCTATATGTTCACATTTTATGAGATGTACTAGCACGTTTTTTTCCCATGTTTATTATGTTTTATAGTGTCTAGACCATTAGACCTAGAGCTTTTTCTTACCATCATCAGCACAGGCATTGTGCAACACAGCTGTTGTGTAGAACACAAAATTGTTTATCACTTTGTGACAATTTCACATTTCATACAATTTTTTTTGCATTTTAGGAATATAATTTTTGAGTTTGAAGCGCAGTGCTATTTTCTTTTGTTTTTTTGTGGACGAACTTTTGTTGCAGCAAAGTGACATTTGAGAACAAAAGAAACTTTTTTTTCCGTCTTAAATGTCACGAATTTAGTCCGAATTCCGAAACAAATTGACTTTCGGACACGAAGTCCGAAAAACGAAATAAAGCAAAATCCGAATCAAAATGAAACTAAACAAATTTTTTGCTGGTGCACATGTCTACCTACAGCTCAAGTACTTCCATTTCTTGATACAAAAAAATACTGCTGTTGTATATTGTGACATGTCAGGAATTTATTTAGGCATATTTGTAAAATCTGAACTCCAGCCAGCCATTAATTAGTAG